CTTTAACAATACAAGACCACATAATATTATTTTCACTATGAAAAATGCAATTCTCAAACTGCGTTGCTGCTCCAACTCTCGAACTTTCATTTTCATTGTTTATTTTGTTTTGTAAGGATATATAACTTTGGTTGTTTATAGCCATAAAGCTACAAAATGTGCTATCAGTGCTGTACTCATTGAGGGTATCGAAACCCAGTTTTAAGCATTATAAGCTTTCAAATTTACAACTGAGCCACAAGAGGGCAAATCAATATCATAATTTAGAAATTTAAACATTAAAATGAAGGTTCCTGTATTCGTTAATCTACAGATCTCATTTGAATCTCATATGCTTGTCACATTAAAAAAGTAGTAAATAACAGAATTTGATTCAAATCTCATTTTATTTACTCCATATATTAAATGAATAGAATAATGTTTTTGTTTGTTTGTGCGTTTTTTTTTATTCTTTTAACGCAAAGCTGCACACTCAGCTATGGGCTCTAAGTCAGTCACTGGGATCGAACCCCGAATTGTAGTATTATAAACTGTCGAGCTTACCGCTGAATCAGCGGGAGACGGAAGGAATCGAAAGCTCATATGATACAATTACCTGTTTTCTCCTTTCAGTAATATAAATACAGCCACATAAACGTCGTGAAAAATAATTTTGGAAAATTTTCAATTTTCAATTACTAAGTACAAAAAATATATGCGTATAATTTTGATAATAGAAATAAAAATTGATATTGCTTGTTCTAAACCAAGTAACATATATTTATTTGTTATTTTAATTGTTGGTTAAATATTAGCTGGAGCATGGAAGTCTTGCAAGCGATTTTCAAGAGATCTTTCAAATCACTACAAAGTTATCATTCTTTATAATAAGTGCATAATCATATTCCTTCACTATTACATACTAGATTTCTTCTTTATATATGTTTCATTAAGACTTAAATGAAATATTAATAAGTTGTATCATAATTACATTATATCAGGAACAATATATAAGTAACTGTTACAATTTGAATAAGTAACCCTTTAGTGATACTCACAAACTAAAAGCTAGCAGTTTTTTCGCCTCTTTTTTTAGTTTTAACAAGATGGCGTTCATTGTTCCGAGATATGAACATGTGGTGTTTATGTGTGAGAGTAGATTATGTATTTGCAGGATAGACTCTGATAGGTAATGTATTTCCTTATGTTATATTTTGCACATATTTCTTGAATTTTAATAATAAATTATAATGGATAGGTCTAAACATGTATCTGTTAGTTACTTTTTCTTATGTATTTGTAGTCTTACTCTTAGTTTAACAACTTTTAAGAGCTATCGGTTAACCCTATTCCACACTAATTCATATTAATCATACATAATTCACTATGACTATGAGTATAGTTAATATGGAATGTTAACATGGACAGGATTCTAAATAGTTGCTTGTCCATCTGTCTTGGACATGTGGAAAGTACTAATTTAGTAATTACTGTAGCATTTCTGTCCTTGGGTTAGGGTGTTTATTAATACATTATTGTATTTGTCAGGCGAAAAAAATAAATAAAGTTCTGTGTTTCTAGTCGCACTTGACGTTTGTTATTTTCTGTTTGGCTTGTCAGTTTATAGCCAATTAGCCTTTTGCTGTTATTTCTACTACTACCAATATACTATTTTTCTTTAAATTTTCTCTAATTTATCCTTAAGCTAAGAAGTTCTGCATATATATATATATATATATATATATATAATATTATATATATT